GAGGTGGGGCCTATCCCCATTTATAACAAAATGGCTATACACGACGATAATAAAACTCATCATAGGCTATGCAGCGCTTGTATGGTGGACGAAGACAACGCAGGTAACAACCATAGACAAACTTAAGTGCTTCCAAAGGAGGGTCTGCCGGGCGATAACGGGCTGCATGAAAACCACCCCTACTGCAGCACTAGAGACGATTCTGAACGTAAGACCACTACATTTCTACATTCAGCAAGAAGCAGCATGTGCGTCTACTAGACTACATATGCTGGGCTTGTGGAGAGACTACAATACGCCACATACAAGTATTCTAAAAGGTATTGAGGAAGAAAACCCCTTCTTCATGGCGAAGACATTATTCCTAGACAGTACGTATTTGACAAAAAATATAGAATACAACTATATGAAGACAATCCTGACCGAGGACTGCACAAGGAGCTCAGGGTATACACAGACGGTTCCAAAACCAACTCAGGTACTGGTGCAGGTGTGTTCTCAGATGATATCAACATTCATATATCAGACAGCCTGGGTATCCTCAATACGGTCTTTCAGGCGGAGTGTATAGGCATTGTCAGAGCAGCGGAGGCCATCACACGACGTGCAATCAGGGGTAAGAACATCCGGATACTCTCTGACAGTGCCTCGGTACTCCAAGCGCTAGACAACAATATAATGACGTCCGGCTTGGTTTTTGAATGCCACTGCAAACTTATGGAGGTAGGCAGAGAAAACAAGGTCAAGGTAGACCCACGGCTAGCAAGTAAGTTTTGCAAGCTACCAAGACATGCTTTGATACAAATAGTGAGCATTCTCACAGGACATGGACACTTTAATAAACATCTGTTTAAAATAGGTGTCTCGGACAGTCTTCTGTACAGAGCCTGCATGGAGGAAGAGGAGACGAGTACTCGCGTCCTGCTGCAGTGCAGAGGCGTGATCAGACACCGGATGATACACCTGGGCAGCCCGCAGACGCTACTAGAAGCATGCGGAGACACCAAGAGACTGCTGAGCTTCTTAGGGGAGTTGGGATGGCACGACTAAGGCCATCCTCTCACGCAAAATAGGCACCTGGTGTCGAGTTGCGGAAAACACCCACCGTTAAGAAGAAGAAGAAGAACGATTATATTCCACTTTTAAAGCATAGAATGTTAGAACATTATAACAATTATAAAATTATGTAAATTTTGTTGAAAATAAATGATTATGGCACTCCTCGCTCAACGTAGCGATTTATTACTACACCCCGTGGTTCTGTCGCAGTTCCTCATATATTTACAGAAAATTTTACACATACAGTGGTGTCGATTCCAGCGTGATTCTCTAAACTTAAAACTAAATTTAACATCAGTCTGTCCTTTTCATTCTGTATAGAGAATGACAAGGATACACTGTTGTCAAATTGGACGTAGTTACGCGAAAACGTTCCAACCCACAGCGACCCCATTTTGAGATAAACGCAATTTTGTGTTTTAGCGGTACACTTTTTCCCTGTAATTATTTCAGGCAAATACTATTGGTGTTACTGTGGAATGCCAAACTGGTTATTGAATGATATGCATATTTTTTGTAAATACATAATACAAGGGGCATATAAATAGGTAAAACGAGTTTGAAACGTTTTCGCTAAATTTAATTTTGTATGAACCTTGTTAAATAGCAATTGTGCATAAACGTTCCAGAACGAATTTAAGTGTATTATTTTATAAATATATCTAAAATAAATATGTAAAATAATAAATAACAATGAAGAACATACAAAAACAACAAAAAAAAATTGAAAATGTATTACAAAAAAAATAGAACGTGATCTTTTGAGCTTAGAACCTATGCCAATTTGCTGATATGGTTCCAAAAGTTATCAAAAACTTATATTATAAACATTCAATTTTCATCATCGTATTCTATGATCTCGAAGTCCGGAACTCCACCAAACCCATCAACATCATCAGTGCTTCTTCAGAACTTTGAAGCGTTCTATAAAATTGAAGGCAATCCACTTCCTGTGCACCTCTTCTACCTCTCCTTCTACCAATACATAACAATGCCCAGTATCATTAAATGCACTATGGATACCACTATTGTAGAACTAAGTAAAAAAGTTAAACCTCTTCAAGTTTACAAAATGACAAAGACTGATTTTTTTAGTACAACTAAACTGGAAAAGAAGATTATCAATAGGAAGAAGTTTACAGACTCATCTAAAGTTAGTTGGCTACATACAAAAGAAATTAAGTTGGATAAAGATAAAATGTTTTCTATTTTTATGCGGTCTACGATGGAAGACGATTTCAATGAGTTGAAAATTGATAAAAGAATAAAACGAGAACTGCAATACATAAAAGAATCTGATTTTTGCTTATTGTGGCCTAACGACAAACCGATTGCTCCAGCGAAATTAGTGGACTTACAATCCATGTACCACTACATACCCGAGGATTGCCTTCAATTTTATAGAACGCTTCAAAGTTCTGAAGAAGCACTGATGATGTTGATGGGTTTGGTGGAGTTCCGGACTTCGAGATCATAGAATACGATGATGAAAATTGAATGTTTATAATATAAGTTTTTGATAACTTTTGGAACCATATCAACAAATTTTTGGCATAGGTTCTAAGCTCAAAAGATCACGTTCTATTTTTTTGTAATACATTTTCAAATATATTTTTTTGTTGTTTTTGTATGTTCCTCATTGTTATTTATTATTTTACATATTTCTTTTTGGTTTATTTTTATAAAATAATACACTTAAATTCGTTTTGGAAAGTTTATGCATAATTGCTATTTAACAAGGTTCATACAAAATTAATTTAGCAAAAACATTTCAAACTCGTTTTACCTATTTATATGCCCCTTGTATTATGTATTTACAAAAAATATGCATATCATTCAATAATCAGTTTGGCATTCCATAGTTAAACCAATAGTATTTGCCTGAAATAATTACAGGGAAAAAGTGTGTAAATTGCAAATTGGGGTTGCTGTGGGTTGGAACATTTTCGCGTTACTACGTCCAAATATACCATAGTTATTTATTTTGGTAAAAAATATCTTTTTCTCTAGAACATATTTAATAGCAAAAATGGATCAAGTATATGTGGATTGTTTATAGCAAAAAATATGAAAATAATATATTATAATAAAAGGTTTCAATTTATTTAGAACAGTGTTCGCAGCTTAAAAAAACAGTATGGATTAATCTAAAGGGTTTCAAATTACATGGAACATTTTTGCAGAAATAAAAAATGTATAAAGATTTTGCAAAAACGTTACAACCCACATGGATCATTTAAGAAACCATTAAATGTGCGTTTTATGAATTTAGTATAATGTTCCAAGACAAGTGGAACATTATAACGATATGTTATTCTATTAAGAGTTTTTAACAATATGTTTCAGTATGCATGTAATGTTTTTACTTTATTTTGAGTACACGTCCTTGGCATAATGGTGGGTTGGAACATTTGGGTTAAACTTTATTGATGAAACTAACTTAAAAATACTAGCATCTTTGTGTGCACATGATGTAATATGGCAAAAATAGTACCCTGGTTATGGTAACTCATTTTCGAGTGACTTGTGGGTTGGAACGTTTTCGCGTAACTACGTCCAATTTAAGTTTAGATTTAGAGAATCGTGCCAGAATCGACACCATTAATCGCCTTCGTTTTGGTCACTGTCGTCTCAACTTTCATCTTTCACGGTTACAAGTGGTTAGTGGCAATGGTGTCGATTCTAGCATGATTCTCTAAACCTAAACTTAATTTTGACAGCAGTGTATCCTTGTCTTTCGCTATACAGACTGAAAAGGAGAGACTGATGTTAAATTTAGTTTTAAGTTTAGAGAATCACGCCAGAATCAACACCAATAAGTGTAACATTTGCTCCTTCAACGATGAGCAGATAATAGCACACATTTTAATTTTCTGTCCATCCTTAAGCATTCAGCGCCTTGTGCTTAGGGATGAGCTCGTCACCGTTTATGGTTCAAATAAATTGGTGCCGCGCAATGTTCATTTCTTAGTAATGCTGTAAATTACGTTCAAACTTATAGGTACCTTTTGAATGTATTATAGGCACCAAACAATAATTTAACAATGGAAAAAAAATACACACCAGGTTTATTTGTGACATCAAGATATTTAATTCTATAAAAAGTACAAAAATCAGTAACACTTAGAAAAAATATTCCTTAATGTAAGAATAAATAGCTATGATTTTCATGAATGTTTGGCTTCTGGTAGGTACCTTCTAGATTTCGAACAATAATTTGCTAGCATTCCTCTTTCTACGAATCCATTTCCCTTGATAGTGCTTTTCTAATAAGGAAATGTCTTTAATTTCATATAGAAAAGGCTAAAAAATTAAAATTTCTTTCATAGTTTTGTTGTTTCTCTTTGTTTATTGGTGTTGGTCATTTTCGTTTGTAGGTATTATATTGTCCTTGTTTCTAAGGTTTTGCGTAAAGATTTACGTTTTTCTTGCTTGTTAACTGCGTTTTAATTCCTTTGTGATATTCACAAATGTACATAAAACAACACACACACATATACATTAAATATTAGCAAAAAAAAAGAAGACTAATAAAACAATGCTTCAAAAACCTTTATTTTAAAGTAAAATAAATTAATAAAACTAAAAATTAGGTGGTATGGGCATTGTTTCTCTTGCCTTCTCTGAAAAGGGAGAACGGAAATGTCAGTGTCACATAAATAGGTACTCTTCTTTTTAGTCTATGGTCAGCCATTTTGGATTTTGCTAAATGAATTAATTTTTATCCAAAAATATGTTTTTTGTCTACCTGTGATTTACTCATAAAATTGACTATTCAAATAACAACCGTAGTTTGATTATTTCGTCCAAGTACCGTCGCGTAGAGTGCTAATGTGTGATCGTTGAAGCTGAACTGTGCCTTGTCGATCAGCTGTCAGGGACCTTTGACGTGTAGAACACAAACAAATCTTATAAAATTGGTTTGCTATGCTGTTGTCGAGATGAACGGAACCTTTTACGAGCAACTGGGTGGCGTTGCCGGTATGTTTGATCAGTGGGGTGCATGCGAGAAGACCGTCTTGGCGTGTGCTTTGGCTAGACGTGTTCCCTGGCCCGGTCTGAAGTTGGTGCAGCGAGCGGTAGAAGCGGCGCTACAGAATCACATAGAGGATGAAAGACTTGAACGTGACGCAAATGATGAGACGCTGTTAGCGAACTTGCTCACGCCAAGAACAGACGATATTGACGATGAAGGTAGTTATATTTGATACCATATCGCTCTTTACAGTCTATTTTGCTTACATTGATTCGTAAAGTTCAATAAAATTTATATGAAATATACTTTGTATGTGTGCCTACCCTCATTAACAAAAAATCTGTTTTATTAATAGATATTGGTGTAATTTTACTAAATCATATCTTTGTGTCTGGGAAATATCATGTAATCAACTAAGTACCTAAAGCTTTCAAGGTTTTATAAAGAATGTCTTTTATACTTTAAGAAGTTGGACACTGAAATGGTAGGTGGGGTGTTACCATATCTAGGAAATTAAACAATTACCTATATATTTTTTAAAAAGATAATTACACAAATATTATAAATGTGAAAGTTTGTTACTTCTTCATGTCTAAATGGCTGGAGCGATTTTAATAAAATTTGGTGTGGAGTTAGCTATGTTTTACTGCGGGAAAATATCCCTAATAAACTGAGGGTAACACCGCAGGGCACAGCTAGTCATACAAGCTAAAATAAGTCTTATAATTTTCATTGAGAAAGCAAAAAGTGAGTGGCAAACTGTTTTGTGGCCAAACCACTGGCTACAAAATTGGTTACTGTTTGATTTGATGCTATCACTTCACATGGTTATTCTTATTTGCTATTTGTAAACTTGACAAGTTCATTTTTTTCACTCCCTACAGAGTATGATAAGAACAACCTGCTGTCTAAATGACAAATAGCTAATACAAATAACCTTGTGAAGTGCTGGCATTAGATTAACACTGCTTATTTAAGTGCCAACTCTTAACTTTCCTGCTTGAATAATGAAACTAACAGCACTGAATAATTTTAGAAGCTATTCCAATTTGTCAAAGTGTCATGTTTATTCTAGACCAAACATAAATTAGATACATACAGTTTTATATTTAAATTGTTTAGTATTTAACTGCTAGATGTTTAAGGTGTTAATATTTCTACTCAGTCTACATCCAATCTGAAACCTGGACTGAGTCGAATTTTATAGAGGTACATTTATTGTGACATTTATGTATCAATGTATTTATATGTCTGAAATATTTAAGGAGGAGATCAGTTACGGCAGCTATTGACACTACTTCCCTTACTAAGGATAGATAATGAGCGTGCAAAGGATGTATATATGACTGCCACTCCAGCCTTAGTACAACGATGTGTGGACGCTCCCCGACGGTCTTCCATCGCCCCTGACTTATGCAGACAGCTACTGTCTTATTTGTTAGTTCACCCAGCACTCACACATCATGACCAAAGGTACATTTTTTTTATTTTTCTGCAGTTTCTGCACTCCTGAACCTCTATAATCTACAATGAAATATTTTACTTTTCTTCACAGCACCTTGACACAATGGCTGCGCTATTTAGAAAATCATATTTCGGGCAAAAGAAACTCTGAATCAGTTTGGCATCAAAGGATAGATCCATGTTTATTGCCAGAGAACAACATATGGAGCTCGAGTAATACTTTTAGACGCACCATTGGTAAAAATGTAGAATTCAGAGGCCTGATTGACACAGTAGATTCATGTTACACAGATTTATTACAAGAGTCCTTTTCTAAGAATGGTAGAGATGTAGACCTTAGCTTAGAAGGTGAAAAGCTAAACTTTGACATTGCAATATCACAGCCCAAGTCTCAGAGATCAAATAGCTTAACACCACCTTCAAGCAATTTTATGCAAATGTCATCTTCTGCTGAAAATCTTAGTGACGAGCCATTTGTTCAAAAACCTCGAAGTTTTTCACTATCCAGTGAGCACAGCTTGGGACAGATAAGGCCAATCAGCATAATGTATGGAACGACAGGCAGTGAAACACGGTTAGATGAGCTCAAATCAAACAATTACACAGAACATCCTGGGATGTCAACAGTAGCTCAGTGGCTAAAGAGTTTGAGATTACATAAATATGTATGGCTATTTACCAATATCACATATGAACAGATGATGTCAATAGATGAAAAATATCTAGAAGAGTTAGGTGAGTGCTTTTATTATATGATAAAATGTTTACTCAATGTTTCAGTTTCTTTCAACCCCAAGTTAAATTCTTTAAAAATCAATTTTGTCTTTATTCATTCAAATCCTTTCTTCACACAACACGCCAGCAGCTAAATAGTTCTTATTTATTTACATTTTATCAGATGTGTTATTACATAACCTAATTTCATGCCACTACTGTAATATTTACTGATGTTTTGTTGTTGTCCATGCAGGCGTTACGAAAGGAGCGCGGCACAAGTTGCTCCTATCCATTAAGAAGTTGAATGAACGCGCGTCGACTTTGGAAGCAGTAGAGGGTGAATTGGCTGCAGGAGTGACGCCCGCGGCCGCTGCGCGAGCGCTCGAACGATTGCGCGGCGTATTGCTCAGCCCGATGCCAGCTGCTTCTGACCTACCCATCGCCATAGTCAGGGCTTTGGACTTGGGTAAGTCACTTGGGTATCATGAGCAGCCTATTAATGTGTTGCATACACCTTGTCTATAGATGGCATAGGAGAAAGGGCGATGATCCATAAATAAGGGACAATGACCGCGTCAGCGCAAGCGTTCGAACAATTGCGCGCCGTATTTACCCAGCGTCAAAGACAGGGCTTTGGACTTGGTCTACCTCTGAAATTGTGTTTTTTTTTTTGTCTATTGTGAGGGCCATTGACCCTCAGCTCTGCCAGCCCTACATGCCTCAGCTACACCAATACTACTCGATTATCCTTATTTTGTTTATCGGAAAGTAAGTAATGTTTGGCGGCCATGGGATATTACTCTACTCCTTTAGGACTCGAAACTATCTTTTAACCAAATTTCATCTAAATCGGTTTAAGCATGAAGAGGTAACAGACAGATATACTTTTGCATTTTTTTTTATTTATAAAACAAGTATGGATAGTCAACTTCTTAGTTCCCAACAAATGTAAAATTAAAGTGTGCTTAAATTTATATATTTTTAAGGTTCCATACCTCAAAAGGAAAAAACGGAACCCTTATAGGATCCGTCCGTACGTCCGTCCGTCTGTCAAGACCGTTTTTCTCAGGAACGCGTGGAGGTATCAAATTGAAATTCATATCTAATACTCAGCAGGTCTACTGTCCCTTGGAGCTGTGAAAAAATCAAACTTCTAAACCAAAGCAATGAAAAGATACAGCCGTTTATGCCGCAAATTTTCGAAACTCGCACGGGAATCAAAACCTACAGGGTACTTCCTGTGAACTTAGAATCTTGAAATTTGGTACGAAGTAACGTCTTATAGTACTTCTTCCGTGCTTCGGAAGGCACGTTAAGTCGTTGGTCCCGGCTGCATCTGCAGTCGTTAGCACCCACCAATCCGCAGTACGCCCGCATGGTGGGTCTTGGCCCAATCTCCCTATTCCATCCATAGGGAAGGCCTGTGCCCCATCAGTGGGGAGATTAATAGGCTGATGATGATGATGATTGTCTCATAGTACAGATTAAGGAAAAATTGCGAAAAGCGTAAATTTTTAGTTACATCATAAAATAAAAAAAAAATCTTAATAATTATTACAATATACCTACAGGTTTCATGGCGTGAAGATGAACACATTTATGTTGTTTTGTTTTTACAGCATCCAAAACTATAAGCAATGGGATGAATACTACGGCGCAGGTACCAACATTGGCGCTCTCTGATGAAAGCGAGCACGAATCCCCCGTCGATCCCATGTCTTTGCATTGTTGGCTGATTGAAAAGGTAATTTGTAAGCACATATTTTAGGTACCTACTTTTAGTTTCTTAGGCCTACTTGCCAAAAAAATCTCGAAATCTCGATTCAAGTAAAACTAGATTTGATTCATTGAAAAATGTCAAAACGTCAGTCAATGTTAATTTGATATTAATGTATGGACAACATTTATTTATTACAAAATTTTAGTTGAAACGAGATTTATCTAATTTGGTGCAAGTGTACCTTACAGCATCCAAAACAGTATTTAATTTTTAGTATAGTTTTCTTTTATATTTAATCTATAGTATTTGCCTTGATTGAATTGGTGTTATGTACAGACAACCATCAAGTTATCACAAACGTCAAATTTGCTCAATAGATTGTGAATTGTATGCCAAGCAGTATAAAGCTCAAAATCTAATATATTACTTTAACAGTTTGGGAAACTGCCTGTGGTTGTTCGTATTAACGTACTTTTGATTTGATTTGATTGATTTGAAAATGTACTTTTTGCTGTCTTTAGTTATTGTTAATTTTATTTTAAAAATCTAATTCAAACTGGTGAGACTTTGTTTTCTGAACAGTAAAATTTATAATTTTGTGCTTATAGTGAAAACTTTATTCGAATGACTTCATTATAATTTAAAATTTTTAAGGCACTCCATCATGAGGCATTCAATAGGCCGGAATTGCAAGAGGCATTGAAGAGGCTACGTCACCGTTTGCCTCCTAGGCAATTCTTCCACCACGTATCCGATATGCCCCTCAATAGGCGATGCCCGAAGCCCAGGTATGTTTTTTCTAACATTTTGTACTATTTTGGAGCTCAAGCTTGTAGGTATAATATGCCATTGAACATTGCCACTTGTAAGGTAATAAAAAAGAAAAATTAGGTTCCAAATAACATGGTTAAGCCAATAAGTTGGTGGTGATGGCAGGTTGCTGGTTGCAAAACTTAGTGTTTTGACTTCCTATTGTAGTAAATCATCGGGCGCCTGGAAGTGAGTCACATCTCCAGCTAGTGTCCGGGATAAGCTCTAAAGGGACATCGAACCTCTAATCGCAAAGCCAGGGTTGATGTAGGGTTGTAATGAGAATGTCTTTTTCTCTTCTATCTATTAATTTTAGTAAATTTACACACCCTTGGATCATGGACAGCTTTGAACATAAGTTTAGTTAGCTTACTTTGATGGTTGGTTTTTGCCTTATTTCAGGTTTGGAGAGGTTAATCCATCTTTTTAGGTTTGATGAATTTAAATTTTTAAATCATGATTGTTAAAGAAAAGAGAGTGTTGTACAAATTAAAGAAAACGTATGTTCATTGACGATTTATTTATATTGAAGTAAGTAAAAAAATATTGATTGACTAAAATTTAAACAAAAATGACACTAAATTAGATTAGGTAAAGATATTATAAAAGAGTATACATTACAACATCCCCCCTTAATCTAAGTTTAGGTACAAGTTTAAGTCTCAAAAAGCAAATAACAATCCCATATAAAACATAAACAATATATAATATAAGTAACCACATTAAAATATCTATAAAATAAATAGGCTAAAGTAACGTTATATAAATCAAGTTATACCTATACAAGTCACACATTTATTATGAGCTACACGACCTAATGGTTTAGTCAATACATCTGCAGACATCTCTGTACTCTTAATAAACTTTAAACCTATAATAATTTCAGATACCTTTTCTCTTATAAAATGGTACTTAATATCAATATGTTTAGTTCTGTTATGATAAACAGGATTGCTCGCTATACTCTGAGCACTTTGGCTGTCAGTATATATAGTTACACAGTCAGGCTTATGACCACATACCTCAGATATGAAACGCCGTAAATATACAGCTTCCTTGGCAGCGTCTGTGAGGGCCATATACTCTGCTTCCGTAGACGATAGAGCAACAGTCGTCTGCTTTTTAGATGCCCATGAAACTGCACCATTTGCAAGTTGGAAGTGATATCCCGTATATGAACGTCGGTCCATTTCACAGTTTGCCCAATCTGCATCTGTATATCCGATATGAGGTCTATCACACTTCCTATAAATAATGGAACAGTCTATAGTTTCCTTCAAGTATTGTAGAACTCGCTTTGCGGCGAGCCAATGAGTCTTACTGTAACACGTATTGAATTGACTCAAATAACTAGTCGCAAAAGCAATGTCTGGCCTTGTATTTACAGCCAAGAACATTAAATAGCCAATCAAATTCTGGTAGGTATACATTTCGTTGGAATGCTTACCGTCTTTGTCTTCATCTTCCAAATTGTTATTTGACAAAGGAGTACTAAATCCTTTACACTTTCGTTTTGAGAAACGTTGATCCCCAAATAATAATTTAAATCTTTTATTGTGAAATATTTTTGCAAATCAATTTTGACAGTGTCAAAATGATCATTATTTTTGAAAAAAGCTAATATGTCATCTACGTAAAAGGCTAAGATGACAAGGTCTGAACCAAAAAGTTTTTTAAATACGCAAGGCAACCTATTCTGATTAATGTTTCACTTAGCTTATTATACCAACATCTAGGTGCCTGCTTAAGTCCATAAAGAGACTTTTGCAACAGACAAACTTTGTTTTCTTGCCCCTTTACTGCAAATCCTTGTGGCTGCTGCATGTATACTTCCTCGGATAGAGCTCCATTGAGAAATGCAGTCTCCACATCCAAGTGTCTCATCTTAAGATCATGATTCGCTGCAATTGCCATAAGTGTGCGTAAAGATGAATGTCGTACTACAGGTGCAAACGTCTCCTTGTAATGGATACCTTCGACTTGACTGTAACCTTTTATCACAAGTCGGGCTTTGTACTTTGATACATTGCCATGAGCATCCATCTTCACCTTATACACCCATTTACATGGTATGATCTTCTTATCAGGTTTGTCTACTAACCTCCACGTTTTCAATTTCATCAGAGACTGATACTCACTTTGCATCGCAATCTGCCATTTAGGAGAATCATCAGAGATCATCGCCTCATAGTAACTTGTAGGCTCTGAGTACTCTGTGTCTAAGATATTATACGAGAAATAATCAGGTGGTTTTCGAACTCTCGAAGGATACCTTTGCCCTTCTACTGGTGTTGGCAAATTAAGTGATGTGTCGTCTACAGCATCTTCCCCCCTTCAATTCAAAATTTAATATCGTTTATTCAGTCTAGGCTGTTACAAGCACTTGTGAATGTCGAAAAGCTACGCCATCGGTTCGCAAATCTACGGCGGGAGACCTTGTACTGAGAAGAACCGGCAAGAAACTCAGCAAGGGCTGTTTTTTTCTCCCTGTATTGTATACAGAGTCGTCAAATTGAAAAATGACTTCAATATGAGGTAACTCATAAAGTCACTTTCCATTACAAATGCTAATATAATAAAAATTATGACTACATAAAAAACTGGTTTAACAAAGTTTAGGAATGCCGTGTCCTGCCGTTTAGGCAAAAAAAAATGAACGATTAAAGTTTAGTACAACGGTTAATAGTATCCAATGAAGCAAGAGCAGACTCATCTCCGCTGGCAGCTTAGTGGGCATACCGTAGATATATTACTATTATCTAGAGATTCAAAATCAGTTGAAGTCCCAGGTAAAGGACTTGCTTCCCTATTAACAATGTCAGGATCTTGATGAACAATCGGAAGTTCTTCATCTCTTGACATTTGTAACATAGGTCTAAAGTGAGTACTATTTTCTTGTCCTTTACTAGACTTCAGAGGAGTGAAACAATCCTCAATGAAAGTTACGTCCCTAGCCTTAACTAATTTCTTAGGATAACTAGCATCTCTAAAATAATAACTATTTACATCTTGAGAATAACCTACAAATATACATTCTTGTGCTTTCACATCAAACTTGTCCTGTGACAAGAAGGAGTATGCACTAAAGCTCGACACCCAAATACCTTTAAATGTGTCAAATTGGGCTTAGTACCATACCATTTTTCGAACGGTGTTAGTGAACGATCTAAAGCACAGTGAGGAAACCTATTTTTTAAATATACAGCAGTCTCTACAGCATCTTGCCAATAAGAAAAAGACAGTGCACTACTAGCTAGCATGAAACGAGCCTTTTCCACAATAGAGCGTATAGTACGTTCGGCTACTCCATTTGACTGGAGAATAAGGTACCGTCGTTTGATGTACTATAATATGGGAGGCAAAATAATTTGTTAAATCGTGATTAACAAATTCTGTTCCGTTGTCAGTTATCACATTTTTTTAACTTTGCTCCAGTCTGACGTTCTACTAGTAAATGAAAATGCTTAAACTTTTCTTTTACATCAACTTTTGAAGACAAGAAATAGACAAATATTTTACGCGAAAAATCATCAACTAAAACTAAACAATATTTAATAATAAAAATAGATCGCAGTGTATCAGTTCTAGTAAAGAAGATGCCCTATCATAAGCAATCTTCTTAAAAGGTTTTCGCGATTGCTTACCTTCCACGCAAGCAATACACCTATTAATATCTACAGTCTTATAATCTACACCTACATTACCTTTTTTCAAAATATCCGTACCAATTCTGCATAAGTGTCCTAATCGCCTGTGCCACAACTCGTATTTGGATACAGTTTGAACTGCACACGAATCGTACACATTGTTGCAAGAAGGGTTTACAGTACAGTTTAACTTGTACAGCCCTTTGCAAACTGAACCACTCAAAACAGATTCTCCTGTAAAAGAAAAAGTATCAATTCTAAAGAAGTTACAACCATTCTTATCAAACAAAATAGAAAATCCTTTATCGACACATTTATGTACAGATAATAGATTGGATCTTAACTTAGGGATATATATAATATTATTAATAGTATTTACATTTGATGAAGTATCTACAGAAATGTCACCGAAACCAAGACAATCTACTTTTTCTCCGTTAGCAACAGTAACACTTACAGAGTCTTTCGGTTTAAAGGTCATAAACCAGTCTTTACGAAAAGTCATATGTTGTGAAGCGCCAGAGTCAATAATCCAGTGGTCCACAGAATCGCTATCATTTATGCCAAGTGCTTGCTGTGACGTTGGCTCCTTTGGTTTCTTCATTTTTCTTAATGGACAATCTGGCCTTTTATGTACTGGCTCTTTACAATCGTAACATACTATCGGCTTTTTCTTCTTCGGTTTATTACAACGGTTTACATCAGAACGTAAAGCAGTTCCACCAGTGTTTGAAATCTGACCTTTTGACATTTCATTTAATAATTTTTCTTTCACTAAATCAATAGTTATTTCAACATTGCTAATTTCTAATGCAATGATGAGGGGATCAAATTTTGGAGTTAAGCCTCCTAATAAAACTGCAGCTAACGATGAATTTTCAATTACTTTCCCTATGTCAGCTAAACTCTAGTAGTACTCTTATGAGTACTATACTAGCAAACCAGTGAACCAAATGTTCACATAAAAAAAATGTATTTAATTAATTGAGAACTTCGGAGATTTTGTGTGGTTTCGTTTGAAATAGAAATCACGTGATTTCTCGAAAACCGGAAGTGCTACGTTACTCACATCCGGTTTGTAGTCTTATCAGACTATTCTCAACTTATAACTTAAACATTCTCTTTATCTATCTCTTACGGTTTGGCCGCTGAAACAGCACCACGGACGTACGGACGGACGGACTTGTCTTATAGATAAGAGATATATTGAAAAGTATATTCATGCGATTATATCATCAAAATCATCAAGACTTAGTCTATATAGCCTGCGTTCTAGGGCTAACTTGCGTCCCATCCCTCTATCCTCATAAGCCTTTTGTAATGCTAACCAA